CATGCCAGAGGACGAAGAGAGCACATCCACTCAGTCATGGTCAGACAAACAGGACCACACTGGAAAACAGGCCGATCTCCAACATCTATTAACAAGGGTGTTGATAGAAGCAGCACAGCTGATGTTTTTTTCCAGGATGACGTCACAGCCAAACAGGAACAGACGAGGCAAAGCTACTCTGAGGAAAAGCAGAGAGAGCAGAAGGTTAGAGATTGAACTAACAGATTCTGCAGAATAGGAGAACAGAGAGAGAATGAAGCAGAATGATGAAATGGGGTCCCTATATGTCCTCCAAAAGTCTAAGCCTATAGCAGCATAACTATAGAGATAGCTCAGGATAACCTGAGCCACTCTAACTATAAGCTTTATCAAAAATGAAAGTTTTAAGCCTAGCCTTAAAAGTAGACAGGGTGTCTGCCTCACGGACTAAAACTGGTAGTTGGTTCCACAGGAGAGGAGCCTGATAACTAAAAGATCTGCCTCCCATTCTACTTTTAGAAATTCTAGGAACCACTAGTAAACCTGCAGATTGAGAGCGAAGTGCTCTGTTAGGAACATAAGGAGCAATCAGATCTCTGATATAAGATGGAGCTTGGCCATTTAAGGCTTTATATGTGAGAAGGAGGATTTTAAATTCTATTCTTGATTTAACAGGAAGCCAATGAAGAGAAGCCAGGATAGGAGAGATATGATCTCTCTTTTTCATTTTCATTAGAACTCTGGCTGCAGCATTTTGGATCAGCTGAAGGCTTTTAACTACAGTTTGTGGACTTCCTGATAGTAAAGAATTACAATAGTCCAGCCTTGAAGTAACAAATGCATGGACTAGTTTCTCAGCATCACCCCTGGACAGGATATTTCTAATTTTTGCAATGTTCCTCAGATGAAAGAAGGAAATTCTAGAAACCTCTTTGATATGGGATTTAAATGACAGGTCCTGATCAAAAATAACACCAAGATTTTTTACTTTATTATCTGAAATCAGTTTAATCCCATCCAAATGAAGTGACTGGCTAATCAGTTTCTTTTTCAGAGACTCTGGTCCAAAGACTATAACTTCTGTTTTGTCTGCATTCAGAAGCAGAAAGTTAAGAGTCATCCAGGTTTTTATGTCTTCAAGACATGCCTGTAATCTATGTAATGGGTTAGCTTCATCTGGATTTATAGACAGATATAGCTGGGTATCATCAGCATAACAGTGGAAATTAATCCCATGCTGTCTAATAATTCTACCAATTGGGAGCATGTATAAAGTAAAGAGAATTGGTCCTAGCACTGATCCCTGTGGTACTCCACAGGTAACCTTTGAGCGTGTTGAAGATCTATCATTAACATGAACAAACTGAATTCGATCAGATAGATAAGATTTAAACCAGTCTAGTGCTGTTCCTTTAATTCCAACAAAATATTCAAGTCTTTCTAAAAGAATATTATGGTCAACTGTATCAAATGCAGCACTAAGATCCAACAGGACGAGCACAGATACAAGTCCATTATCTGAGGCCATGAGAATATCATTAGTGACTTTCACCAGAGCTGTTTCAGTGCTATGATGAGCTCTAAAGCCAGACTGAAACTCTTCAAAAAGTTCATTATGGTGGAAGTGATCGCAGACTTGTTTGGCAACTACTTTCTCAAGAATTTTGGATAAGAAAGGTAGATTGGATATAGGTCTATAATTGACCAAGTCATCTGGGTCAAGAGACGGTTTCTTAAGCAGAGGTTTAATTACAGCAATCTTAAAAGCTTTAGGTACATATCCCTGTAACAGAGATAGATTAATCACATCTAAAATGGAGGAGGAGATCAAAGGGAATACCTCCTTAAATAACCTGGTTGGAACTGGATCTAACATACAAGTTGAAGGCTTAGATGAAGACAATAATTTTGCTAATTCAGAGAGTTCAACTGGATCAAAGCAGTCTAAACCCGGTTCAGATTCCATGACTACCTCAGGTACAATCGCGGATAGAGGAGTGCTTATGATCTTATTTTTAATAAGATCAATCTTATTTATAAAGAATCCCATAAAATCATTGCTGCTAAGAGCAGGTGGAATGGACGGTTCAACAGAGCTATGGCTCTGGGTGAGTTTGGCAACTGTATTAAAAAGAAATCTAGGATTATTCTTATTCTCCTCTATTAATGAGGAGAAGTATGCTGCTCTTGCTTTACAAAGGGTCCTCTTATACAGCAGTAAACCATTTTTCCAGACTAGGAAGGACTCTCGCAGGCCTGTGGAGCGATATTTTCTCTCCAGTTTCCTAGCATTTTGCTTCAAAGTACGCAGCTCTGCATTAAACCAAGGAGCAAGCTTTCTATTTTTAACGGTTTTCATTTTCAAAGGAGCTGCGTTGTCTAAGGCAATACGCATGGTTGGCATATAAAGGGAACTAAATACTAAAAAATCATAGAAGAAAACCTAGCAGACACTGAAGAATACCTGAGGGGGAGATTCGGTATTTTGCTCCTTTCCATAGTTTTTACGGCAACCTTCTGGACTTAGCTCCCAAGTCCTTAGCAAATACTCAGCAAGCAAATTCCAGCCTATTTTTTTTTTATTGGATTTAGACAGAAATCCAAAAACGATCACAACTGCTTGATTTCCAGAAGAATTTACTAAAGACGGACAAACCTTGCTGAAAGATCTGCATTTTTACCACATTTATATTATTTCTGTATATATGCATGTATATACTGTATGTGTGTATATTGCGCAATTGGATCAGTCACTGAGGTGAACCGGTCCTAAATCCGGTTTACGCCACTTCTGTTTTTTTTAATATAAGATACATATGTGATAGCTTTCAGTGTCTGCAGTCAATGCATTTAATCCCATGTTTACGTCATTCCCCTGGATCCCGACACACATCCAAGACTGTGTGGATGTGGATCGGGAGTCAATGTGTTTATAGTTTTGCTTTTTTCTCTTATTTTCTTTTATGATGTGATCATGATACCGTTGCCCTAATGCTCAGGATTTTGATACATAGAGAGAATGGCATCTGCTTTAAGTTTCCAAATTTTTTTAGAGCGTTATTTACCTGACCTAAATTGAATTTAGAGCTATTGTGCAACATAGAAAGAGCAAAAATGTTAGTTCTGTGAATCAAGCTCATTGAGATATACCCAGAAAGCGTACTTCCCCACTGGAAGTGAAATAGAAGTTAGATGGTGTTAGTCTATCCCATATAATCCCAATGCATTACAGTGAGATTTACAGTCATAACCTGTTATAATGTACAAAGGTTTAAGGAGTATGAATACTTACTTCGCTGCAAGTAAAAGGAAGCACTCTGTCTGCACTAAACTTGCATTCTGATCTCCAGCATGTTTTCAGTATCCAACTGAAACATGCTGAGTTTTAGGTCTCCACGGTGTTCAATCACTCTCTGTTCACACAAAAGCAATAACCTTAACGACATAATGGATAGTGTTATGAATGGCGCACAGACACCAAACACATCCTGAGTATCATTCCTGTGCTGATAGATTGTAATACATAGAAATTACACACACTTCTAAGTTCTCATCACTGCTCAATTAGTCCCAAATCAAATGTTGTGGTAACAGAGTCTAATTGAAATGCTAAGAATTGTGCCCCAGGAAAGAAAATCAACCCTCGTGTCGACCCGGGTTGTAGAGGTCTGATGTTTAGACAACATCGTGGCTGTTAAAACAACAAACAAACACAAAATAATTCTAATTTTACCACCAGCTCTCTGGCTATTTTTTTTTTTTTTTTTTAGAAAGGCAGCTCCCCCCCCCCCCCCCCCCCCCCCCCCCCCTAATTTTAGCCTGTGCTCTGCAGCAGATGTTTGTGCCCTTTCAGATACTGTGGGTAATAATCCTTCATATTTTTCCCGTTTGAAGCTAAATGAGCCTTTAATGCACTCTGATTCCGTCTACTTGGACTCATTAACTGTTTTTTGAAAGTCCATCAATTATTTCTGTTTTTATTAATTTCATATTTTATGAATTTCTTATTATATGAATTTCTTGTATATAAATTCTAACAGAAATCTTTATTAAAAAAAAAAAAATAGAGACATTTAATGCTGCTGGGACTTTGGTTTGAAACGGTTTGTCAAACTCAACCATAGAATTGGCCAAGACGTGAAACATTATCTATAAAACATTGCAGGCATCACACACATATATCACAGATTTTATTCAGATGGAATTAATCACAGTCCTCTATTTTTATAGGCAAAACGGTAATATTTTGGACTCTGACTGGATTTCCAATTCAAATGTGGGAGGAAATTAATATGGGAGGCCTTTTTATAAACATCATAAAAGAGTGTCAGCATAATGGGTAGGTTTTCAGTGTGTAGTGAGATCGGTGTGAGCGCGTTGTGGTCCACCTGATGGATATCAATCGTTGATGCATGAAATTATCTCTCAGGTCCGGTACAATTTTGTTGTGGTCTGGTTTTGGCCAAAAAGTTAACATTCCTGGTGAATAGCTACCATGCATAACGTCACTCTGTATAACTTTAACACAATGCCTTCATGTCTGTTTACCACTTCAGAGCATTTGGATGTGGTAGTCTAACGCCAAGCAGTGCAAATTTAGTAAGATGAAAGAAAAAAAACAGTTGTTTTAATTGGTACATATGCATAATCACAACTTTTCCGTGGGGAAACATGGCGATGGTGACGCATCAGTTTGCAGCAAAAGCTAGCTGGGTTAAATATGGACTGAACAGGGCTGAATACAAATGACTACAAATGAGTATTTGGGTTAAGCAACCAGAAACATAAAAAATAAAATAAATAAAGTGCTCTAACCTTCACTGTTCCCATACTTGCTCGATTAGCGACACTACACCACAGAAATGTCTTTGAAAACTTTACTGTTTGGATGTCTGCATTCTCCCCATCCATCATCACAAAGGTGCTGCTCGCTCAGTGTGTTTTGGCGCCTCATTAAAGGTTCTGCAATGCATCTAAAGTCCCGTCACTCATCTTCTCCTCTCACCCCTTTTTCCTTCCAGATGGTCACAAGAACAAAGAAAATATTTGTGGGTGGCTTGTCGGCCAACACGGTAGTGGAAGATGTGAAGCAGTATTTTGAACAGTTTGGGAAGGTAAGACTGCTTTTGTTTCTAACCTGCAAAAAAACTGAAATGTATTTGATTGTTAATGTCACCCAGAGGAAATATATTTTTATTGATAACTTTGGAGATCTTAAGGCCTTAAGCATATTAGTTTTTTTGGTTTTATCAACAGAAAATTGATTTATCCTTTAGCGATGCAGCAGTTATTAGCAGCTGGGAGAACACAGTTGAATGTGACGCAACCATCGTGGATGGCTTCAAATCTCTCTGAATAAATTTGGCGACAGCTCTGTGTCATTCTGCTGTTTCTTCTTCTTTGTTTGCTGATGGATAATGGGTGTCTGAATTCAGCTGTCTGCTGAGAAGCTCTGGCTGCTGCGGGTCTGACGCATGTCTGTGTGATTATTTAAGAGTATTAATTAGATATCCTTTAAATCACTCCTATATTTAAAATGATTACTGGTGTTGCTTTGATGTGCCATTGGCAAATCTTGTCAGCGCCGAAGTTTGGAGACTACACTAAAAATATCAGCAACAGCTGCATTTGTTACAGCACACTGAAAGCTTTGGGTGTACCTAGCCAAAAAGAATTGGTGTGAAAAGCAATCATTTTAGTGAAAGTCTGTGCTTTTTGTCTGCCTACCTGTATCCACAGTAGTTTTGGTTTTGTTAGAGAGAATTTATTTGGATTCAAATCCTCAGTTTGAAAAATTGCTCTTAAAGAGCATTTTTTTTTCAGTTTCACAATTAAATTCTTCCAGCTACAAATGAATGCAGGACCAGCCTATGGATTGGCAAACTAAAACTTTCTACTTTTAAAGGAGAAGCACAATACGTACAAAAAATGTCTATTTGTGAATATTAGAGGAATATTAGTATGGACCTAGGAACTAGGCTTGTCCCGATCCGATCCACGTATCGGATCGGGACGCCGATATTGGCAAAAAAAGGCGTATCGGCAAAGCATGTAAAATGCCGATCCAGACTGCCGATCCAGTTGTTAAAAAAAAATCCGGTCCGTATTTTCCATTTTCACCAATTGAAACGATCCATTCATCTATTTTGCGCCAGTGTTCCCCTGTTTTGCATCTTTATTAAAACTTACAGTAATACTTGCACCTTTAACTGTTTACGGTTTTACTGCTCACTGTGCAATTTCAGATTGCTATTCATAATTTTGTCCAGTTTGTGTTTATCTCTTAATAAACAGATAAGTTTGTTGTTACCAAGCATTGTGTTTTATTCAATCTCACCTAATTTAGCTGGCTAGATGTTATCAAGAGTACTAAAACCCTTTTCAACATGAGTCTTACAACTAAGGCTAAATACTTTAACTTAAACTTAAATACATGCTCGGATAGGCTGGTATCGGCCAGTATCGGTATCGGATCGGAAGTCCAAAAACAATATCGGTATCGGATCGGAAGTGCAAAAACCTGGATCGGGACATCTCTGCTAGGAACCTTTGGCAAGCTCTTGTTTCTGTTACAACTGCTATAAATGTGGCCACAAAGGCACCAATGCTTTTATTTATATATATATATATATATATATATATATATAGATATATATATATATATCTATATATATATATAATTTGTTTAATTATAGAAAGCTAGCTAAAGTTAGAATGTTTTTGGGCAATGATTCTTCATCAGCAGGTGCATAAATGAATTAATTAATCAGTCAATTTAAGCTTAATTTGCTAAAAAAAAAATAAATAAAAACGTAGCACTACAAAAAGGTCAAATATTATCTGGAATTCATTTGGTTTTTCCATTTTATTCAGAATTTAATTCCAAATCGAAAAAAAAAAAACTTACTTTAGCTAGTGTTTTAAACCCAATAAGCATAATAAAAAAAAATGTATTGATTTATTTTTGACCTCACAATGGAGAAATTCACTCTCTGTATTAAACCTATCCCCTTTGGAAGCAATGAGCCACTGTGTGGCACCAGGGGAGCAATCGGGGGTTAAGGGTCTTGCACAGAGACCCAGAGTGGCAGTCTGTGGGAGTGGGTTTCGAACTCATGACCTCAGGATTCCAAGCCTTATTCCCAATATACACCTAAAGTGACAATAGGATTTATTTTTGTTTTTGAAATACAACCATTAAGATAAAGGTATATACCTTTGTTTTAAAATGTCACACTGAGAGAATCCCATACCTATTCTGCTAATACAAATGTGGTCAGAAAAAGGACAAATTGTCATCATAAGGAGGCTAATAAAATGCAATAATGTTATGTTTTTGTTTTGTTTGTATTTTTTGCAGGGGGTGCTATATCTGTGTTATTTCTCTGTTTAAAGTCCAGATTCATCACCTTCTGTCATCCAGAACAATGCTTTGTATCAAATACTTTATAGCAGCCAATTTGTTTGAATGCTCTCCCAAAATAAGGCTAAAAAGACAAATTGTGACATGCAAACAGCTGAAGATGTGGCAGCAGCTCCACAACGCCTGCCAAGCCTGGTCAACAAAATACATTTTGTTTACAGAGCAAACAAGCAGTGACAACCAGCTGCCATGACCAACCCTCCCAGTAACTGTGCAAGTGTGACATCAGAATGAAAAACAGCTTAATAATGGAATGCAAGTTAAAGTTCTGACATTGTGGCATGTTTTAAGGGGGATCTGTAGCTGTTTGTTCATGTGTGCTGCTGCTGCAGCTTCTACACCCTCTCCTCTTGGTTTCCCCCCCCATTCCGATGGCATCACACATGCGCCTCGCTTTATGCAAGGACAGATGTACACAGCTCGCGCGGCTCTGCTGCTTGTGTGCAGACACAAACAGGCTTTGATACAGTGGCAGCATTTCACAGATAATTTCCCCACACTGAGCAGGGATCCATTTCCCTCATGTCATATTCCACATCAGTCAAGGTCACCTTCAGCTGATCCACTATGTGCAACATCAACACTTGACCTTGAGTTTTAGTAAGGATGGATTTTTCACAGCCGCATAATGTACCATGTCCTGAAGGAGACAAAAGAGCTCTTCTAAATTAATAGAAAGGTTTTTTTTTTTCTCCCCCTTTTGTTCAGGCACTGTACGCTGCTTGCTCCCCACCTCCTATAAATCCCTGTTATTTTCTTGACTGGAAAAGAGCAAGGTGAAGGACTTTGTTTTCTGTCCTCTTCTGCAAAAGAGAGTTCAGGACCTCGCTGCATCCTGGGTCCGTGGCTTCTAGTGACGATGGGGTTATTGCACTATAGAACTTAGCGAACAAATATTCAGCATGACTTTGCAATCAATTGACGTTAGAAAGGACTCCAAATGATTTTTCGACTTGATTGAATGACATAATTGACTTGATTATACCAAGTTTTATTCCTCCTTGAGGAATCGTCAAATGCTTAGGAGGAAACAAACAAATCAGACTGATTGAGCGAGATCTCGAGCATGTTTCATAGCCCGCTCATGCACCCTCGGATGAGTTAGCTGCACTGCTCCCGCCATTCTGGAGCACGCCGGCGATTAACTGTATTTATGTGGGCGCGCAATTAAGGCTAAGCTTATGTGCGTGTGAGTGGATTTGAGTGTCTTCTGCTAAAAGACGAGCAGAGTGGGTTTCAAGAGCTGTGAAAGACATGATACAGAGGAAAAAAAAAATTATATATATATATATATATATATATATATATATATATATATATATATATATATATAAAGAAGAGCTCTTCATGTTTAATGTGTGTCCTTTCTTTCTGACTTTCACATTCCAGGATTTATTAGATAACCTGGCTGTCAGTGCAACCTACCATTATCACCACACACACACTACACAGAGAACTAACCCACACATGGAGACACCAATTAATTGTGCTCGTCCTTCATAGAATCCTGGTGGCGGTCGGCATGTTGGGCTGTCACTCAGTCAGCCTGTGTGTTTTCCTGTTTGTTACCACTTATGCATGTCTAGGGGGGGTTGCCAACGCAGGACCTAGGTTTTGATATATCTGGGTGGGAAGTCTTTTACTGAGGCTCACAAAAATATTTTTTCACTTTGAAATTGTTTTACCCATTTATCAATTTAGGTGCAAAAACTTGAATGTATACATTTCTATCATTATTTTATTGTAGTATAATTTGCAAATGTTTCCAAACTTTGTTGAAACACTTTTTGGGGGTCTCTACAAGTATTGAATAATATGACTCTAACCGTTTTTCATTTCTAAGTGGCCAAAGCTCAATCTGAATTAATATCAATATACAGGGTTGAAGTTAACTCATGTGAATATGCTTTGATATAACCCAATCCATTACAGCTTTATTGGTGTTTCTTTCTCTGTGCTGATGAAAAGCATCCCTAGGACATTTTACGGCCACCTGATCAGGGTGGTCACTGTTGGGTTCAGGAGTAAATCCTGTCTGTTTTCTCCTAAAGTTAGACTGTTTTTCCATTAACATAATTCACCAGTTTAAGACTGGAATGCATATTTCTAGATGTGTGTTGTTTCTTTTGCATTACTTATTTGCTTTTAAGAACAATTATTAAAACACTTTGATGTTATTGACAGAAGACATGTTTACATGAAAAAAAAAAAAAAAAAAAATCAACCAATCACAAGCAGCAAATATGCCCAGATAAATAGGTTTACAGATAAGGCCTAATAATAAAAAGAAGAAATTGAACAGTTTTTTTTTTATTGAACTCCAAAAAGTATTTTAAGAGGTTTGCTTGCAGAGTAGAACATTGCTTGTTGTTAAGCATAAAGTACAAACTGCAGCCACCAAACAGGATTTCATTGTTTTCATGACTTTTAATGCTCTCTTGTCCAGAGTCCATTGCTGTGGGACTTACTTTCTACTCGCACGCATTGATCTGCAGGCTAGCTGCAGCCCTTTATTATTCGGTGCAGCGGCAAACCCACTTTAATTCTTTACCGCCACCTAGAGTGCTGAAGTGAGAAATGATGCATCTTACCCTTGGTTAAAGTAACATTACTAAAAATCGAGTCTCTGCAGTTTTAATTTTTATTTATTTAATTAAATTGCAGTAGGGATGAGTAGCGACCAAATCTATC